AGAGAATAGTCCACCGCCAGTTGATGGCCTGTTCGAATTATTATACTTGAATTCTGTCCATCTAGCTGCCTTTAAATCTGTCTAGGTCAATTCGCTTGTGTTGGCTTACTTCGTGCTCCCTCTACTTGAGATGAGAACCCAGAACTGTGGTTAGACAAGAAACACGGTTCTATAATGAGATAGGATTAGCGAAGTATAAATATTACACCCACAACCAAAGTCTCAAAGCTTACAAGCAGCGAGACAATGTCGAGGAGGGGGATTCAAAGAAATAATGAGGGGGCCAGAGGAAACAAAAAGGGAACGTAGTTATCCGAAAGGAGCAATTGACTATACAATAAACAGTAGAGTGTTGATAAATATAAAAATGTCACATGAGGGGCTTTACTGTTAATGCCAAACGTATCAATCTTGAGTCAGTACGTCTACTGTTGTTAGAAGGCAAATAGCTACGTTATTGCTGAATGGATAGACGTGGGACAACAAGAGAGCATGCATGAGAACGTACAATGGTCGTGGTGGTGCAGGGTCCCCTATTCAACAACTTGTCTCCTTTTAGGAACACGACGTTTTCAGCAGATTCACGGAGCTGGACCTACTTGACTACTCCAACAGTCTTTACCCCGGCCTTGATGACCAGGCAATGAATCAGAGTATTCTTGATCTTCCTGATCCCGGGGAACGCAATTCAAATGTCGTCCAGTTTCGTGCTGACTCCGCTACAATTGCAGAACCAGACATTAGCGGCCTTTCCTATGATGCGGCCTGTCGTGTTCTCGCCAAGCACTACCTTTCTCACGCCCTTCTGCCGTTTGGTGTTCCAGATCCACAGGTTTGTTTACTTTCCCCATTCTTACCCTTTTTGCTGCTTCGTTATGGTATTTTTCGGCCTCTGTGTACCTCATGAAGGAGCCCACTCCCTTAAAAATTAACGAAGTCAAATCTGTTTTCGAAATTCCATTCGTATACCGCTGTGGGAACTTGAACGCAATGCGCAGGATTTTTTTATTTTAGGCTCGGACTGATTTATTCGCCTGCTAATACTCAATTACTGTTTGTACGACCGCAAAGTAGTCTGATTTTTGCAAAAATTCGGAACCTGCGGCGTCCTGTATGTTCAGTTGCCCAGTGGTTGGCATCTTACACGTTCTAAACAAACTGTCCACAGTTTCGGGAGGCTGCGCAATTCACGCTTACCGCGCGATAATAGTGTAGTGGTCTAAGTAGTTGTTGTGCCTAGGTCACTGCAATCATCAGGTCGAATCCCAGGTGAAATGTAAAACGCAGAAGTCACCAGAAGGAGGGATTTATTGTGAACAGAACTCCCTATTGCTGTCTCAGGTGGCAGTGGCCACTAGTGAAGCCAGGGCTAGTGTTGACTGCGTCCAGCCAGACCTGAGAGCGAATGAGACAGTGGTGGCTGCTGCTTAAGTAGGATTGTGGAGCAGGTTCAAGTGTTCTGTTATTGGTGTGT